CCCGATACAGTTTTATCGGTTTCAGCTCTTCGCAGATAGCAGATATAGCTTACCATACCGGATCCTAACTACATCAGATATATCTGGACGTGCTAGTAACTCCGGTAGAGTGTTATTAATGATTTTTAAAATTTCGAGATTGTTTTTCGGGATTATGTTTTCGAGATTTTGTTTTTCGAGATTTTAGTTTTCGAGATTTTGATATACTCCCGAAAATTAGGTCTTTTGATCAAAATTAGGTTTTTTGATCAATTTTAGGTCTTTTGATCATTAGGTCTTTTGATAGGGAACCCTGTATAGTAATGCAAACTATTATTTGTTGCCATTATAAATAATATATAAATTGTTAAATTATTTTATAGATTACATAAATTATTTTGTGAAATATTGTAAATTCAAATTATTTATATAATAATATTGTAAGTAAATTATAAATTATATTCTAATTTATAAAATTTATAAAATACACCACTATTTTAAATATAACAGTATTAGATATTTCAAAAAAATAAAATTAAACACTATTTACTTAAACATAATGAATATGTCTAAAGTGAATCAAAATTATTAATTAAAAAAAATAAAACTACAAATAATTAATTTATTTTATATTACATTATAATGTTGACTATTTTATTTTTTTTAATTATTTTATTTTTGCATTACTTTCGTATAAACTAATTATTATGTATTTGGTGATACACCTAGCTACAATTTCGATCTCACCTGTAGGCACAACAAATATTTCCAACATTTATATTTAAATATAGTAATACTGCATATGAATCATACAGTACTGCACTAGCATTTAATAGTCAAATGTCAAAACAAATTCAATCAATTCAGTCGCTTTTGTACTTTTACTAATAAAACTCAAATAATTTGACCTGGACACAGATTCATTTTAAGTGATTAAACCAAGCTATGTAATTTTATCCTACCTCTTACTACCCATTATCAGCTAAGTCTACCATATATTTCATGAATGTATTCAGACGACTGAAAACAATGACTACCACTGGAACACCTATTTATATAGTGGTGGCGCCCAAGCATTTGAGCCCAAACACCCGGTACCACATCAGCGTATCGGTGTACCGGGTAAGCCGTCCTTTACAAGTAGATGTGAGAGTCATGGGAAGTACAGATAACAGCGCCAGTGGGTCAGTGCACTTCGACAAATCCGACNTTTACAAGTAGATGTGAGAGTCATGGGAAGTACAGATAACAGCGCCAGTGGGTCAGTACACTTCGACAAATCCGATACCAAAACACTTAGCCTAGAGATCGGCGACTGGTCTATTGGGGACTACACACTAGAAGTCGACATTGGTAGCGGGATAACTGTGCCATTCAAACCGCTTTTTGGGTCAACGAGCGCATCTATACTTGATAGACACAGGGCACTTGTGTTTAAACCTACCAAGACATTAGTTTTCATTCAAACTGATAAACCCGTATATAAACCTGGTCAGTTGGTTCAGTTCAGAGCCATTGTGGTCGACCCTTCACTGGTACCCAAAGTCAACACATTGGTTGACATATACATCAAAGTATGTCTCGTTTTTTGACATTAATTTACACAATAAGTTGAATACATTTCAATAAATTAATAAATTTTGACCGAAAGGACGAAAACAGAAATCGTATCAAACAATGGACTCAAGTGTTGGTCAAGAATGGTGTGGTCTCTCGAGAACTCCAACTGTCAGAACAACCAGTTTTAGGCAATTGGGCCATAATTGTGGACATTAAGGGACAGACATTTCAGAGGGACTTTGAAGTGGCCGAGTATGTGTTGCCCACGTTTGAGGTGCAGGTATTACTGCCACCCTTTGCCACCTATAATAAGCCCGATGTGGTCGCCACAGTCACAGCCCATTATACGTACGGACAGCCAGTTAAGGGAGACCTCACTCTCACTGTGGAAGCAAAATATGAACGTATTTATGAATTTCAATATTAATTTGTTTCAAATTCTTTGAATATACAATAGTATAACAATTGTTAAAAAATTATATTATACTTTACTGTAATGTCATTATTAGACTCAAAGTTGCGGACAAAGACTATAATGAATGGAAGTGTTGACATTCCCATCAATATTGTGAAAGATTTAGATATATATCAGCTAAAATATCGACATGGTGTAGACATTGACTTCACGGCAGTGGTCAGGGAAGGAGTGACCGGAAAGGAGTATACAAAATGCAATTCATTGACACTCTATGATAAAGACTATAAAGTGGAGGCCACCAACCAAAGCCACTTTAAGCCGGGACTCAAATACACGGCTCTATTTAAAGTGGTTCATCCGGACGACACTCCCGTTGATGATAACGGCCCTCCAGTGACATTGAAATACGGCTATTCCTATCATAAAAAACAGCTTGAATTCACTGAAAGTCTGATCTTACAGCCAATCCATGGATTCATTAGGGCTGAGATATATCCGCCTAAAGATGCAACAGCTTTACAATTTAAAAGCACTTATATGCGATACGTCTACTCACACGACAACATCTATAGGGCTGAGTCCCCGACCGGGAACTACATCCAAGTGGAGAGATGCGATGTCATGGATGTAAGGGTTGGACATGAGGTCAAATTCTGTGTCACGGCTACCGAACCCCTCACACGTATTGTGTATGAAGTGATAGGAGGAGGAGATATTGTGCTGACACACAGTCTCGACATTTCGGGGAACAGTAGTTCACACGAGTTCTCTGTGATGGCTGTCCACAGAATGGCACCGAAAGCAAGGATTTTATGTTATTATGTGAGAGAAGACAACAGATCCACGAGAACTGATTGATTAAAGTGTTGTGTCTGACCCTCGGGTTTCACCAGTAGTTTCCTGAGGACAGAGTCTCCAGCCATGGCTGAGTTAGCCGTCAGTTTGATGTCAATATAACCCATAGTTTTCGGTGTTATCGTGAATGTGACCGAAACGCCATCGTTGGCAGGGATTGACACCAATTGTCTCATTTCAGAGATATTTACGCCTTTTGTGTGCAATCGGTCGCTAAACTCAAACTCCTGCTTCTTGTTATCAAATACTACTTCCGATTGAATCGGTTTTGTGGTGTAATTGAAGACAATGGCCTCAATGGCTACCGTTTCGCCTCTTATTATAGAGTAAGGCAGCGATAGTTTGATGAAAAACGGTCGGAAAACTGTGACCTAAGGTTTGCAAAATCAGGTTTAATTGTTTTACATATGACTTGTTTTTGGGTAACCCTAATACCATACCTTCGAAGGTGTGGGTGCAATGCCCAGACCAGTCTCAATATGCATAGCGAATGCGCTGATGACCCACGAGGTGATTGTGTCGGGGATTGTGCTCTTGATAACAGCGCAACCATTACTCCTAAAGAAATTAATTTTTAAAATTTTAATTAAAGTTATAATTAAACTGTAAAGTTAAAATTCGTTATTTGGTTACAAGTTACCCTGTTTGCATTGAGGTCCATAGCCAAGTTTCGGGAAAATGTTTTCTAGTTTTAACACTAATGCCGACATTGGTTTGGGTGGGTTTACTTTGGGACTGGCGATCCAACGGCGCTGACTGTGATACTGATCTTTCGCACACTTCCTTCACACTGTCGTGCAATGATCGCCAAACTATTGACTGACTTCTCACGGATTGAGATCTCTCACCTAAAATACAGTCAAATCAATACATTTTACACTCATTTAGTTTATATACACAACAGTTGCAGACGATTAAACTGACCAGGGCCTAGGCTGTACACTTCATTTTCATAAATGAAACCGTTGGACACGACCACAACCCCGGAGTTGTCAAACACTTGTTCAGCGGTGGAGGAGTTGTGCCCCCAAAAGGTGTTAATACCAGTCGTATCGTATGTCTGTAACTTTTGGATCACGTCTTTGTGTGTCATATCATTACCTGATTTCAGCAAAAGTACGCTCTGATCGACACCTACTATACCCACCCACGCGTCCGGCTTTGTATTTACTCTCACAGCTACCTGTGCTCCCGGCTCTGCCTCCTTAAGGTCGGTGTCAATCGACACCTCAGTTCGAAACAGTCCGTCCACTTCGAAGTCCATGGCGTCGGCCACCACTTCTTCGTTGTCTTCTCTCACATAATAACATAAAATCCTTGCTTTCGGTGCCATTCTGTGGACAGCCATCACAGAGAACTCATATGAATTACTGTTCCCCGGAATGTCGAGACTGTGTGTCAGCACAATATCTCCTCCTCCTATCACTTCATACACAATACGTGTGAGGGGTTCTGTAGCCGTGACACAGAATTTGACCTCTTGTCCAACCCTTACATCCATGACATCACATCTCTCCACTTGAATGTAGTTCCCGGTCGGGGACTCAGCGCTATCGATGTAGTCGTGTAAGTAGACGTATAGCATATAAGTGCTATAAAATCGTAAAGCTTTTGCATCTTTAGGCGGATATATCTCAGCCCTAATGAGTCCATGGATTGGCTGTAAGATCAGACTTTCAGTGAATTCTAGTTGTTTGTTATGATAGGAATAGCCGTATTTGAGGGCCACCGGAGGACCGTTATCATCAACGGGAGTGTCGTCCGGATGAACCACTTTAAATAGAGCCGTGTATTTGAGTCCCGGCTTAAAGTGGCCTTTGTTCATGAGCCCCACCTTATAGTCCTTATGATAGAGTGTCAATGAATTGCATTTTGTATACTCCTTTCCGGTCACTCCCTCCCTGACCACTGCCGTGAATTCAACGTCTATGTCATATCGATATCTTTGCTGATATTCCTGATCTATATCTAAATCTTTCACAATATTGAAGGGAATGTCAACACTTCCATTCATTATAGTCTTTGTCCGCAATTTTGAGTCTAATTACAGTACATTATTATAATTTGTTAATAATTTTTATACTATTGTATATTAAAAGCATTTG